AAGGTATCTACTAAGTTATAAGGTATCTTCTTCCATTTTTAATTTTTTGAGGAATCTCCATACTGTTTCCCACAGTGGCTGCACCAATCTGCATTCCCACCAACAGTGCATGACGGTTCCCTTTTATCCACATCTTTGCCAACTCTTGTTTATTGACTTACTGATGTTAGCCAAATCCGACAGGTGTGGGGTGATATTTCATAGTAGTTTTAATTTGCATTTCTCTGATGACTAATGACATTGAGCATCTTTTCATATGTCTATTGGCCATCTGTATGTCCTCATTGGAGAAGGGTCCATTCAGGTCCTCTGCCCATTTTTTAATTGGATTGTTTGGTTTTTTTGGTGTTGAGTTTTCTAAGTTCTTTAAAATTTTAGATATTAACCACTTATCAGATGTATCATTTGTGAATATCTTCTCCCATTCAGTAAGTTGTCTTTTTGCTTTATTGAATGTTTCCTTTGCTGTGCAAAAATATTTCGTTTGATGTAGTCCCATTTGCTTAGTTTTTCTTTTTTTTACCTTGTCCAAGGAGACATTTCAAAAATATATACTGCTAAGACAAATGTCAGAGATTTTACTGTCTGTGCTTTCTTCTAGTTTTATAGTTTTGAGTTTTACAATTAAGTCTTTAATCCATTTTGCGTTTATTCTTGTGTATAGTTTCTTTTTTTGCAATTTTCCCAACACCATGTATTGAAGAGACTGGCTTTATCTTATCGTATATTCTTCCCTCCGTTGTTGTATATTAATTGATCATATAGTTGTGGGTTTATTTCTGGGCTCTCTATTCTGTTCCACTGACCTATGTGTGTTTTTATGCCAGTACCATACTGTTGTGATTACTATAACCTTGTAGTATAGTTTGATATCAGGTAGCATGATACCTATAACTTTGTTCTTTCTCAAGATTTCTCTAGCTATTTAGGGTCTTCTGTTGTTCCATATAAAATTTTGAATTATTTGTTCAGTTCGGTGAAAAACAGCATTGGTATTTGACAGAAATTGAACAGAATCTACAGATTGCTTTGGATAGTACATTTTAATGTTGTTAATTCTTCTTATCCATGAGCATGGTATATACTTCAATTTATTTGTATCTTCTTCAATTTATTTCTTCAGTGTATTATAAATTTTCAAATACAGGTCTTTTACTTCCTTGCTTAAATTTACTCCTAGTATTTTTTTATGCAATTGTAAATGGTATTGTTTTCTTAGTTTCTCTTTCTGATGGTTCCTCTATTCCCACTTTACAGAGTTTTTATCATGAATGAGTACTGGATTTTGTCAAATACTTATCCTTTATCCATTGATATGACCATATGATTTTTATCCTTCATTTTGTTTATGTGGTGAATCAAATTAATTAATTTGCAGCTACTGAACCAAACCTGCATCCCAGGAATAATCCTACGATATCGCAGTGTGTGATCTTTTAAAATTACTGAATTCTGTTTGCTAATATTTTATTAACAATTTTTGTATCTATGCTCATTGGGGATATTGGCCTATAATTTTGTTTCTTAGTAATGTATTCATCTGCTTTTTAAGTCAGAATTATGCTGACATCATGAAATGAGCTTCGGAGCCTTCCCTCCTTTTGAATTTTCAGAAATAGTTTGAGAAGAAGACGGCTTTATTCTTCTTTGACTATTTGTGGTGTCAGTTGTCACTTCTCTTTCATTTCTGATATTATTTATTTTGGCCCTCTCTCTCTTTTGATGAGTCTGGTTAAAGGTTTATCAATCTTATTTATCTTTTCAAAGAACAAGCTCTTGATTTCACTGATCTTTTTTTATTCATTTAGACTCTATTTTGTTTATTTCTGCTCTGATCATTATTACTTCCTTCCTTATGTGGCCTCGAGGCTTGGCTTCTCCATTGCAGCTGGACCAAAGGCCTGGGTCTCAGGTGTCGGAGAAAAACCAGTGCAGGCAGCCAGGGGAAGGAAGGCCAATTGCACGAATCTTCGTGCAACAGACCTCTAGTATATATATAAAAGGCTAATATACAAAGTGTCCACTCAGGAGTTTGAGAGACCGGGAGTTCGATCTCTTGCTATGATGTGTGCTGACCACCAGGGGGCAGCGTAGAACGAAGAAAGGCCCTGACCAGCAGCTGGCAGCCAGGGAAGGAAGGCCCCAGCTGGCAGCTGGAAGGCCCGGATCGGCCCTGATCGCTGGCCAGGCCTACGGACCCTACTCATGCATGAATTTCATGCACCGGCCTTTAGTGAGAATAAGAAGCTTCATCATGGTTGCTCATATGTGATAACCTACAAAACATCAATCTCATTACTCTACATCAACAAAACTCAGCTATAAAATATAGCATAATAATATAGCAATGACAATACACTAGACCTCTAGAGAGAAAAGTATTAACACATTAAGCACCCTGTCAGTCACCGGTGACTGACACTATACTTTCCATCCGGAAGACAAAACAGGCTGGGTGCTTAATGTGATAAACTCTAATAAATACAGATAACGATGTAAATTAAAGAGATACAGCAATTAGAAGCACTGGGCTATATGTTCACATTGCATCATTGATAGATCTGAAAAGCAGTGATATACTAGTATATATATAAAGCAAAAAAATGAGATCTAGACTACAATTTGTGTAAATGAAAATATCAAAAAAATACACGTTTTATAAAAACATACACACACGAAATACACATTCAAACTGTTTCTATGGGGAAAGAGAGAGGATTAAATAAATAACATAACAGGCTTACATAGACTGAGGATGATATGTACCATGATCTTAGAAGTTAGATTAACTTAACCCTCTGTACTGAAGGTCTGATGAAAAAAGGAAATAAAGTTTGGATTACCTGGTATGTAAGGAGGGCCACCAAACAGGTTTCAAAGTGGTAAATGGGTGTTGGGAATTAGGAAGAAGAAAGTATACTCAAGCTAATATTCTGATTCATCTGGCATTGCAGGCTACAATGGGCTGAAGTTGGGAGAGGTTAGTGAAAGAAATACCAATAATAAGTCTATTATCACGCATGAGCCCATGAGGATTTTTTTTTTTATTAAAGAAATAAAAATAAAAGGATCAATTTTGAGGAAACATATCAAGAAAGAATCAAGAGAATCTTGCAATCGAATGGGAATGATGGGGGTGGATGGAATGGGAATGGTGGGGGTGGAGAAGTCAAGGATGACTCCAAGCATTCTTGTTTTAGTTGTCTGGCACCAATGACAGAAATAGAAAACTCTGGAGACAGGGCCAGCATGAAAAGTTTGGTTTTAGAAATAGAAAATTCTGCAGAAATGGCCAATAAAATTTAAGAGTATTGGGAAATAAAAATGCAATTATCTCCTTAAATAAAGTCATGGTCCAATTACACTGGGAACAAAGTTGGCTCTGGTTACTATACCCAGGAAAATAGGAAAAAGACACAAAGAGGAAGACCAGAGAAGAGCAAATCCAATGATTAACTCAAATGGCATATAGGCTTCCTTATAAGACTCCTTAAAAGACAAGCTAAGAGTAGCCGAAACCAGTTTGGCTCAGTGGATAGAGCATCAGCCTGCGGACTGAAAGGTCCCAGGTTCGATTCTGGTCAGGGGCATGTGCCTGGGTTGCGGGCACATCCCCAGTGGGAGCTGTGCAGGAGGCAGCTGATCGATGTTTCTGGCTCTCTATGTCTCTCCCTTCCTCTCTGTAAAAAATCAATAAAATATATTTTTTAAAAAAGGAAAAAAAAAAGACAAGCTAAGAGTGACTAAATGAATTATAAAGAAGCAAATTTGTCAAAAATTAGAGCTATTTATTGAATCAAAAAGGAAATATTTATCAACAAAACATTTTAGAATTAACACAGAGAATGACTCTAAAGAGCAGTACATGCAGCCATCAAATGCATTATTCCCTTAACATTGGCTGCAGGTAGAAAATCTGGAAATCCATACAATCAACATTATTCAACATTACTGAGTGCCTTCTACATGTCCTGTACTGTGGGAGGCAACGAGGACACAAATGGGCTAAAACAGACATGGTCCCTGTGATGGTGAAATTGTTCTTGTTGTTAATCCTCACTCATGGGTATGTTACTGTTGTTGTTTTGCATTAATGTTTAGAGACAGTGGAAGGGAGGGGAAGAGACAGAGAGAGAGAAACAGTGATGTGAGAGAGACATATCTACTGGTTGCCTCCCACACGCATCCCGACTGGGGCCACAGATGGAATCTGCGACCGAGGCATGTGCCCTTGACTGGAATTCAACCTGCAACCCATCAGTCTTCAGGCCAATGCTCTAACCACGGAGTCAAACCGGCTAGGGTTTGATGGTTAATTTTATGTGTCAACTTGGCTAGGCTATGGAATCCAATTTTGGGTCAAATAGTAGAAGTTAGTGTAAAGGTATTTTTTAGATGTGAATAACATTTACATCAGTAGACTTTAAGTAAAGCAGATTACACTCTCCCTTAGTCCATTTGAGTTGCTGTAAGAAAACACCGTTGACTGGGTGGCTTATAAATACCAGAAATTTATTTCTCACCGTTCTGGAAGCTGGAAGTCCATGATCAAGGTGTCAGGTGAGGGCCCTCTCACTGGCTCATACACAGTCTTTGAGCTGTCTCCTCAAAGGGTGGGAAGGGGGCGGGACCTCTCTGGGATCTGTTTTATGAAGCCACTGATCCCATTCCTAATGGCTTTGCCCTTATGAGGTCCCATCTTCGAACACTATCACATTGGGGAACAGGGTTCCACACAGGAATCTGGAGAGAACACAAACATTCAGCCTATGGCCCGCTCCGCAATGGGGGTGGGCCTGTTCCAATCAGTGAAGTCCGTTAGGGAAAGGACTGGGGTCCCCTGAGGAAGAGCGCACTCTGCCTCCAGGCTGTCTTCAGACTCAAGACTCTTCCCTCAGCCTCCAGCCTTTCAGCCTGTTCTATAGATTTCAGACTTACAGATCCCACAATCACGAGTCAATTCCTTACAATAAATCTCACTTGTCTACATAGATACATCTTATTGCTTCTGTTTCTCTGGAGAACTCTGACAAACACAGTTCTTCATGTCATAAAACACAGTAATCAAATCAGTCTACAAGCAAGTATATATTTGGAAACTCAGATAAGCCTACAAAAAAGAAAAAAGTCTGACACTATAAGAACATAAAATAAGAGAATCTGACCTAAACGGGTTAAATGCCATGGGAAATCTTCACCAAAAGTGATATTTCAGCCAAGATTCTAAAAGAGGAGATAGGTAGGCAACAGTGTTCAGGTGGCAGAGAGCAATACAAGCAGATGGTAGAGCAGTGCAGAGACAAGAGGAGGGAGGTAGGAAAGGAGCTGCAAGGTTAAGGTCATCTGTGAAGAACCTTGTATGGACATATTAAGGTTTTCAGACATTACACTCTGAGGGATGTGAAGACACTGAGAGGAATGAGCTGATATCAGAATTGCATTCTAAGGACTATGTACTCCTACTACCCTGTAAGAAACAGAGAGGAAGAGGGCCAGAGTGCAGAATGGTGAATTGGAAAAAGAAGGTTATGCTATGGTCTGAATGTCTGTGTCTCCCCCACCCTGCCCCACCCCAAATTCATACATTAGAATCCTAACTCACAATGGTGACGGTGTTAGGACAGCCGTGGGCAAACTACGGCCAGCGGGATGGATCCGGCCCGTTTGAAATGAATAAAACTAAGGGAAAAAAAAGTACCCTTTTATGTAATGATGTTTACTTTGAATTTATATTAGTTCATACAAACACTCCATCCATGCTTTTGTTCCTGCCCTCCGGTCCAGTTTAAGAACCCATTGTGGCCCTTGAGTCAAAAAGTTTGCCCACCCCTGTGTTAGGAGGTGGGAAGTGCTTTGGTCATGAGGGTGAGCCTTCATGAATGAGATTAATCTATTTATAAATAAGCCTAAGCGACTATTCGACCATTCGACCGACTATTCGACCATTCGACCGTCCAACTTGGTAGCTATGACACGCACTGACCATCAGGGGGCAGACACTCCACACAGGAGCTGCAGAGCTGCGGTGACTTGGCAGCTGCGGCTCTCGGATGATGCACCGGAGGGACCCCGCTCACTCTGCAGGTGCCCTTTGTGCCCTGGTGCCATCCCAGGTGCGGCCGACCAGGGAGGGACTGCAGGAGGTTGGCTCCAGGGTGTGTCTGGCCCATCTCGCCCGTCTAGCCCCAGAGGGACCCCGCTCACTCTGCAGGTGCCCTTTGTGCCCTGGTGCCATCCCAGGTGCGGCCGACCAGGGAGGGACTGCAGGAGGTTGGCTCCAGGGTGTGTCTGGCCCATCTCGCCCATCCAGCCCCACCGTCCACCTTCTAATTAATTTCTTTCCAATGTGCACAAATGCATGCACTGGGGCATGAGTGTTCTTATAAAAGAGACTCCAGAGAGACACCTAGCCACTTTCACCACATGACGACATTGCAAGAAGGTGGAAGCTGTGAACCAGGCAAAAGGCTCTCACCAGAATCACGCAGGAAGCTGATTCCTTAATCTTGGACTTCCAGCCTCCTAACAGATAAATTGCTGTTGTTTGTGAGCTATCCAGTCTATGAAAATTTTATTATAGTAACCTGAATGAACAAAGACAGGCAGAGGTCAAAGTTCCTAACTTGTTGAAGTGAATGGCAGACACTACGACAGAGAAGCCTGGGCAAAAGATCATACATTTAGGCCTTGAAAATGTTGAGTCTGAGGTACCTTTAAACATCTACCTGGAGACGCCTACCTAAACCTGGCCCCCACGACTTCATTTCTAGATATTAGCTTCCTGAAAGGTTTCCCTCCTTCCACTCTTGCCTCTCTAGTGTTTATCCTGCACAAAGCAGGGAATATTATCTTTTAAAAATATCAGTAAAGTCATATTACTCCTTTCTTCTAAATTGTTTCCCATGGTGTATAAGGTCTTGAGGCTCTACCATCTGTAGCTCAAAGAGGGCTTGTGAGAAGTAAGTGTGAGTCATCTGCACAGAATGGTCACTGACGCCAAGGGCATGTAGGAAATTTCCCAGGGAGAGACTACAGAGTGATCCATGAGGAAATCCATCATCTCCTACAATGGAGACAGAAAAGGAATGGTCAGAAAAACAGGAAGAACACTAGCAGAATATGGTATCATTGAAGGAAAGGGGGAGAAAAAAGCCTTTCAATAAAGTGATCAACAATACCAAATGATCAAAGATGTCTCATGGACTTAGCATATGGAATTTCAAATTTCAAATGGAACCAGCATTTCATTATTCAATGTATCTTCTGCACGGCTCTATTGTACACAACTGTCTTTGTTTAGCTCTCATCACTTCCACTTAATGCCTAAGGTGATGAGACAATTCTGGTTTACAAAAGGCTTGCATTCTAGACTTTGGTTTCTTTCCATGAATAATTAACAGCAATGGTTTATTAATTAGAGTATGGCCTTACTTGTGCTCCATAGACCACTTGGCATTGAACTCCCTGAAGCACGGAAGTTTTAACCCAGGTGCCTGAAGGAACGCTACCATTCTCTCCCTCACCCCACCCCCAGGCCAGGGGAAGTCAGTGACAATCTATTGCAGGGGTCGGCAAACTGTTTTTGTATGGCCCACAAGCTAAGAATGATTTTTACATTTTAAATAGTTGAAAAAAATAAAAGAATATTTTGTAAAATGTGAAAATTACATGATCCTCAAATATCAGTTTTATTGGGACACAGTCATGCTCATTTATTTACATATTGTCTGTTACACTTTCACAGGGCAGCAGAATTGAGTAATTTGACACAAAGCCTAACATTTACTATCTGGCCCTGTACAAAACGCTTTGCTGGCCCTTTATACATCATCGCTTTCCTTGACCAAATCCAGGTTCAGACTCTTAATTCTTTTAAGGACAGTGACCCAGCAAACTATCAATCATTTGGAATTGGCACCTAGAGCGAATGAAATCCCAGAGGCACCCCAGCACCAACACATCAGGCTCTTACCTGTAAGTTGGTCATGAGATTTATAAATCTTCTACTCGTACTGTTAGAGTGACCGTGGAAGCTGATATGCAAAACCAAAGCAAACTTCAGGCTACCCTTACCTTTGCTACAAGTCAGTTGATCTATAACACAAAGTTCAGTGGGTTTGTTTTTTTAATAAACAACACTGAAAGTGAAATGAAACAGGTTGTATTGCTCAGAATATCCTATAAGAAAAAAAATAATGTTTTGCTTCCTATCTTGTGTGTGTGTGTGTGTGTGTGTGTGTGTGTGTGTGTTTTAATCTTCTCCAGTTGGTTTTTGGGGATCAGAGTTTGAGATCAATTGTCAGACACTTACTGTGATGGGTCTCTGGTTCACGGCTGACCAGGGAAAGCTACTGGCCTCTTCAGAGGTGTCTGTCCAACTCCATCTGTATCTCATTATACAGTAATGGGACCAGCTTCCTAACACTGCATAATATGCAATGCAATGAAATGTTGCCTTGAAGACATCAGGGCTGAGATGACTGAATATATGGAGCCATGAAAATTACTAGCCTCAAGGTAGGGTTGGAGCTTTTTGTGAACAACCTTTTGACCTGACTGTGACCAAGAACCAATCAAACAAAAGAACCCAGTCTCAACCTCAGCTGCGCTAGGAATGCTGTCCTCCGTCACTGATATCCAGGTAAATGCAAACATCTCATCCCTGCTCATCCCTATGCCTACACTTCTGCTTTTTGCTTTCAATCCTTCTTGAGTTGCACAACTTCCCTGTTTTCATTTGGGTCAGATTTGACCAGAACCTTCTGTTAGCCTACAATGTTGCTGTTTCTATCTTGGCTATCTATTCAAATAAACCCTAAATCTTCCAGATTGGTGAGACTGTCATCCATACCAAACAGTTTCTCAACTTCCACACTAAAATCTAATGGACACATTGGAAAGAGCATAAAGATTAGGGCAGTTAACCACAGTTAAAACACTTATGATGCCCGGCTGGTGTTGCTCAGTGGTTAAGCATCAACCTATGATCTAGGGCAGCCGTGGGCAAACTACGGCCCGCGGGCCGGATCCAACCCGTTTGAAATGAATAAAACTATTGAAAAAAAAGACCATACCCTTTCATGTAATGATGTTTACTTTGAATTTATATTAGTTCACACAAACACTCCATCCATGCTTTTGTTCCTGCCCTCCAGTCCAGTTTAAGAACCCATTGTGGCCCTCGAGTCAAAAAATTTGTCCACCCCTGATAGGAGGTCACAGTTCAATACCTGGTCAGAGCACATGCCCAGGTTGTGGGCTCGATCCCCAGTAGGGGACATGCAGGAGGCAGCCAATCAATGATTCTCTCTCATCACTGATGTTTCTCTCTCTCCCTCTCCCTTCCTCTCTGAAATCAATCAAAAATAAATAAAAAACTCTTGTGACTCCTTCCTCATCCTCACGGCTAAGAGACATGCATCCCGCCTGAGAAGCCTTAGAGCTGATCTTCTGTCTCCAACTGTCACAAGTGAAGGAACATGGACTCCTGTCCCAGACTGACACACCCTCATGTCTTCATAAATATTACACTGGTATAAAATAAAACCGCTATCACTCAACCCTCACTTACCCCATTATACAGCACCTTGGTGAATGTACCCATGTGGTGATGAGAGAACAAAGACTAATTATGATCCTATGTAATAAAAGCCTAACATGCTAAGTGTCTGGTTGTCCAGTCGGCAGTTCAACCAATAAAAGCATAATATGCTAATGATATGCTAAGGCCACTCAACTACTTGCTATGACATGCACTGACCACCAGGGGCAAACGCTCTGACCAGTAGGTTAGCTTGCTGCAGGGGTCTGGCCAATTGGGACTGAGTGAGATGGGCCAAACATGCCCTGGAGCACTCCCTCGGTCCCACCCCCACTGGCCAACCTCCTGCATCTCTCCCCGGCCCTGATTGTGCACCAGTGGGATCCCTTGGCCTGGCCTGTGCCCTCTTGCAATCGGAACCCTTTGGGGGATGTCGGAGAGCATTAAGGATGTCCAACTGACGGTTTAAGCTGTCAGTCGGACATTCCCGAGGGCTCCTGGAGGGGGCACAGGCTGTGCTGAGGGACCCTCCCCCCAACCCCCTGGCCCTGAGTGCACGAATTTCATGCACTGGACCTCTGGTTATGATATAGTCTTTTAAAAATAATATATATAGGGTGGGGCAAAAGTAGGTTTACAGTTGTTCATATAGAAAATACAATAATTAATAAATAATACGAGAATAAGGTGTTTTGCATACTCACAACTATAAGCCTACCTTTGCCCCACCCTCTGTGTGTGTGTGTGTGTGTGTGTGTGTGTGTTAGAACAGCTTTAAGTTCACAGCAAAATTAAGAGGAAGGTATAGAGATTTGCCACATAGCCCCACCCCCACAAATGCATAGCCTCCCCATTTTCACCATCCCCCATCAGAAAGGTACATTTGTTACAAATGATGAACCTACACTGATACACCATTATTATCCAAAGGCTACAGTTTACATTAGGGTTCATTCTTGGTATTGTATATTCTATGAGTTTGGACAAATGTATAATGACATGTACGTATTATAGTATCATACAGAGTACTTTCACTGTCCTCTGTGCTCTGCCTATTCATCCCTTCTTCCTCCACCAAATCCCTGGCAACCACTTTTTCTGTTTGTTTGTTTTTTACTGTCTCCACAGTTTTGCCTTTTCCAGAACATCATATAGTTGGACTCATACAGTATGTAGCCTTTGCAGATTGGCTTATTTCACTTAGTAAAATGCATTTAAGTTCCTCCATGCCTTTACATGATATGGTAGCTCATTTCTTTTCAGTGCTGAGTAATATTCCACTGTCTAGATCAGCCGTGGGCAAACTACGGCCCGCGGGCCAGATCCGGCCCATTTGAAATGAATAAAACTAAAAAAAAAAAAAAAAAAAGACCGTACCCTTTTATGTAATGATGTTTACTTTGAATTTATATTAGTTCACCAAAACACTCCATCCATGCTTTTGTTCCAGCCCTCCGGTCCAGTTTAAGAACCCATTGTGGCCCTCGAGTCAAAAGGTTTGCCCACCCTGGTCAAGATGTACCAGTTTATCCATTCACCTAGTGAAGGACATCTTAGTTGCTTCCAAATTTTGGCAATTATAAATAAAGCTGCTATCAACATCTATGTGCAGAATTTGTGTGGATATAAGTTTTCAATTTCTTTGGATTGGAGCCCAATTTCTGGATCATAAGGTAAGAGTATGTTTTGTTTTTAGATTTATCTCTAAGTTTTCCTAAATTTCATTTTCAATTGCTGACTGAAAGTATATAAAAGTACAACTGACTTCCATGTGCTCACTTTGCATCTTGAGAGTTTGTTAAGTTTACTTATGAGTTTGAGGACTTTTTCTCATAGATTCCTTAGTAGCCATGTCTTCTACAAATAGGGGAGATTTATTTCCTCTATAATCTGTATGTCTTATCTTTTTCTTGACTTATTACACTAACTGGGCTCTCTAACACCAAGTTAAATAGAAATGAAAGAGAGCATTCTGGACTTGGTTCCAATCGTAAGGGAAAAGCATTCAGTCTTTCACCATTAAAAATGATGTTAGCTGTAGAGTTTTCCTAAATCCCCCTTATCAGATTTAAATTCCTAATATTTCTAGTTTCGTGTTTTTAACATAAGTGGGTTTTAAATTTTGTCATATGCTTTTGTGAACATTTGTTCTCTCTTCTTCAATCATTTAAGTTGGGAGGTTGTATTGACTGATTTGTGAATCCTGACCAGCCACACATTTCTGGGATATTCCTGGTCACAGTACATTATTATTTCTATATGGCGTTTATTTATTTGCTGATATTTTCAAGAGTTCTGCACCTACATTCATGAGGGCTGTTGGAATATAGTTTTCTTTTCTTGTAATGTCTATGTCTCGCTATTATCAGGATAATGTTGGCCCCACAAACTAGCTGCAAAGGTTCCCTTCTATTTTCTGAAAGAAATTATGTAGAATTTGCTATCTCTTTAAATGTTTTGCAGAATTTAGCACTGAAATTGCGTGGACTTTTGTTTTTGGAAAGTATTTCATTTATTTATAGATATGAGACTATTTCAATTATCTAACTCTTCTTTGGTGAGTTTTGGTAATTTCTAGCTTTCAAGAAATTAGTACATTTTTATCTAAGTTGTCCAATTTATCTGAAGAGTTGTTTGCAGTATTTTTTAATCTTTTAATGACTTGTCAGGTCTGTAGTGGTATCCTCTTTTATTCCTGATATTAGTCATCTGTGCCTTCTCTTATTTTTCCATAATCAGTTTGGCTCCACCAACTTTACTGATCTTTTCAGAACATCAGCTTTGGGTTTCATTTATCCTGTCAACTGTTCTGCAATGTTCTGTTTCAGTAATTCCCATTCACCTCTTTATCACTTCTTTCTTTCTGATTGACTTGGGTTTATGTTGTTCTATTTCTATTTTCATTTTTTTAACACGTTGTTGTTGTTTTTAAATTTGATTTTGAGAGAGAGAAGGGAGAGAAAAAGAGAGATAGAAACATCCATGAGAAAGAGAAACACTGATCAGCTGCTTCCTGCACCCCCTCGAGATGTGCCCTGACTGGGAATCAAACCAGAGACCTCTTGGTGTATGGGACAACACTCAACCAACTGAGCCATAGCGGCCAGCCCTTCTTCTATTTTCTTAAGGTGAGAGCTTAAATGATTGATTAGAGACTACAGCTCTCTTCTAATGTAAGCATTTGATGCTATTAATGTCCCTCGGAGCATTAGCTGCATCCCGCTAATTTTGATGTGTTTTATTTTCATTTTCATTTTCATTCAAAATATTTTTAAATTTCCCAAGGAATTCCCTCTTTGGTCCATGAATTATTTAACATTGGATATTTTAGTTATCTTTCTGTTATTAATTTCTAGTTGAATTTTACTATGGTCAGAGAATATATTTTGTATGACTTCAAATTTTTTTTTAAATTTAAGATTTACTTTATGGCCAACCTTGGTGACTGTTTCAGGGGCACTTGTAAAGAGTATGCATTCTCTTGTTGGGTGAAGTGTTCCCTGAATGGTAACCAGATTCAGCTAGTTTACAGTGTTATTCGGTTCATCTACATCAGTGGTTCTCAACCTTGGCTGCACATTAGAATCAGCTGGGAATCTTTTTAAAATCCTGATTTCTGGGCCTCATCCTCCAGAAATTCTGTTTCTTTATTATGGGGTGGGGCCACAACATTAGTAACAAAGAAACAGAATTTCTGGTCGATGGGGCCCAGAAATCAGGATTGTAAAAAGATTCCCAGGTGATTCTAATGTGCAGCCAAGGTTGAGAACCACTGCTCTACATCCTCGTTGACCTGCTGGCCACTAATGCTACCAAAAACTGAGAAAGGAGTGTTGATGTCCCCCCCTATAGTTGTGGATTTGCCTCCTTCTCCTCCTAATCCTGTAACTTTTTGCTGCCTGTGTTTTCAACCTCTGTTTTCAGGTACGTACTCCTTTAGCTTCATTATGTCTTTTTGGCTGATTGAACCTTTTATCATTATGTAATGTCTTTGTATTTCCTGATCTAAAGTCCACTGTATCTAATACTATATATTCACTCTTCCTTTCTTTTGAATGGAGCAAGCTTGATAAATTCTTACTAATTCTAATTATTATTTGCAGGGTTTAGGATTTTTCTATATAAACAATTATAACTGAAAATAATGACAGTCTTAAGCTTTCCAATTTTCATAGCTATTTATCATATTCAGGAACTTTTTATGACTTATTTATTCTAATTAGAATCATAGGGATGGATATATGTCATCACTACCCTTGTATAGTCCCACATCACATTCTACTCACATTAATTTAAAACTTCCTCCTCTTTTACTCTAAAAGCTTATGCAGCCGTTTTAGCAAAGGGGTGTATGGTCACTGGTATACCTTTTTAACTGGGGAAGACTGTCTCCTTGCTCAAACTCATAGCTTCAAGATAAATAAAAGAGGTACAGTAAGAAAAAAAGAAAACCGTTACCTAGCCACCCAAATATCCTAAAACTCTAGGAGCTCAACCCCAGATCTGCCCTTTCTTTGACATTCTCTGTTAGCCTCCTGCCTTCATTTGAGGCGCCCCACCCTTTTCAATCTACCCCCATAGACAGCAGCTAAAGTTCGGGCCCAAACAACCACACCTGGAACCTAGCTCCCCCTTTAAGCTGCCTCCAGTTCTCCTCATTGCCTAACAGACCATCTCAAACCTGTGTTCAGTTCCCCAGCTCTCCCAACTCGTCTCCCCCGACACCTGACCTTCCCTCAACCTCCACAACACCCACTTCCTTCTCCACAGTCCCCCAAACCTCACTGACGGTCAAACGCAACATCCACTCCCACATCTCTCTCTGTGTCCCTTCCTACGGAATGCCTGCACTTCTCTTTACTTATCTCTGAAAGATTCCTAAAGGCTCACTTTCAGGTTCCACCTCCTCCATGAAGTTTCTCAAGAAACAAAAGAAAAGAGTTTCAGTGCACTGGTGGTGTTATTTGTATCTGGCCCATGTATGTACCACCCAGTGGCCAGTTTGGAACCTGGGCAGTGCCTGCCTTCAACTGGGTTCTGGTTTGCCAAATTTGGGCAAACCTTACCTTCTCTTTTCTGGTTCCCTCTCCTATAAAACAGTCATGGGGACTCTAAATGCATTAGGAGTTAACATGTGTGTCACAGTCCTCGGTGATCGCCCCATTCCCCCACCCCAAGTCCTCCTGATCTTTTAGTCGTTACCTCTTCGTTTCAGGCTGCACACGCTTGTTCACTATTCCCCAACGGGACTACTTCTGTATTGTTCCCACTACTGAACACAGGAGATGTTTACCTAATATGAGGGAAACTGCTTACTTCTCTTGCGGAACAAATATTGAGTATGTTTGCAAGGAATACGAAAGGCACGCATGCCTAAGCATTCGCCCGTAATGCCTAAAGGGTAATAACCATTAGGGGAAGGTTTCTCCTCCCTCCGCTATGATATTCCACAAGTCCTAGGAGATGAGGGAGAATCAAGAAAAACAGGACACTGCCCTAGCCGGTGTGACTCAGTGGATAGAGTGTTGGCCTGTGGACTGAAGGGTCCCAGGTTCGATTCTGGTCAAAGGCACATGCCCGGGTTGTGGGCTCAATCACCAGGAAGGAAGGAAGGAAGGAAGGAAGGAAGGAAGGAAGGAAGGAAGGGAGGAAGGAAGGGGGAGGGAAGGAAGGACATGATCCTTTTAAAAATCAAAGAGCCACCTGCAGCAGAGCCTCTTCTCACTTCTCTGTAAACAGGAAAGATGGGAGGTGGGGCAGGGGGGGTGTCACTGGAAATGGAGCCAGGGTTGCGCTGCAGTGTGCAGGGCGGAGTGCAAGATTGCACTGCAGTGTGCGGGGCGGAGTGCAGGGCTGCGCTGCAGTGTGCAGGGTGGAGGGCAGGGCTGCACTGCAGTGTGCAGGGCGGAGTGCAGGGCTGCACTGCAGTGTGGGGTGGAGTGCAGGGCTGCACTGCAGTGTGGGGTGGAGTGCGGGGCTGCGCTGCAGTGTGTGGGATGGAGTGCAGGCTGTGCTGCAGTGTATGGGGTGCAGGGTGGAGGAAAGGGGAACAATTTCCCCATAAGAATCTGGCCCTAACAGTGAGCCAGGGCTTACAACACCCACCACTTAAAATCTGTGGAAAGTAAAGGAGGTTTTTATTGTTGTTTTTAAAAAAAAAGTAAAGAGGAAGAACAAATCCATATAAAAATAAGAGCAAGAGGTAAATTAGAGAAAATAAGAAAGGTATCTACGCGAAGCAGTGTACCAGGTGAGTGAAGAATTCATCAGTGTGCACATATATGCCCGTGTATGCACACATGTGTGTGTGTGTGTGTATAAGCATCCTTGTCTTTCCCTCCAGCCTCACTTCAAGTAAGGGATTAATCTGTATCTGCTCAAGGTACAGAAAAGTGAGCAAAACAGGCTTGGTAGGTTTCTGTACGATGACATGACAGGGTGTGACCTCATGCCCCCACCCCCTCAGGAGGTGGACCGGAATCTGGAAGGCCCCAACGAGGACAGGGCACAAACATGAGGCTTATCACAACGGGGCACAGGAAAGCACAGCCACCACGATGGCTAATTACTCTGAGCCGGCAATGAAAAGACAAACCATGAATCAGTGGCCCTGACAGAGAAGGAAGCGGCTGCTCTTGCGAATATCAAAAAGAAATCCCCAATCTGACAGCACAGATCAAACAGAGGCATCAGGAGAGTCTGGCAGACACTGCTGTGGATAATTACATTTTTAACCAGCAATAAAAAGAGAACACGTACTCAATAACCGATGGAGAAGGACACAGCTGCTCCTCTGAACACTGAGCAGAAATCCCCAAACCTGACACCAAAGAGCTGAGGTCCGAGGTGCGAGTAAGCCTCAGGCGGGAGGGCATGTGAGTTCCTCACTGCACTGACACGCACCACAGGCCTGGAGACACTTCAGGCTCCCGCGGCATTCTGGGGCTCACCCACGGGTGGGTTTTGGTGGACAGAGACCGCCTTCCTGTGACCATGCCTTCGGGCTTGGTGAGCTGTGAGAGATGAGTTCTGTAGGCCTTACACAGGCAATGCACATTCATACAGCGAGTCCGAGAGAAGAGCAGCGCTGGCCAAGCAGACCGGCCGGACTGCAGCCCTGGCCAACAGGGAGAGGTCAGGAAGCCTGAGACCCAGTAAAGCAAAGGCCCGGTGCCCTGCATGGACCCTGCCGTGTGTCATGAGTGCGTGGAGAAAAGCAGTCCTCCGACAAGCAGGGACTGTTCTAGAACACAGCATGCCCACCACTTCTCCAAGTCTGCAGTGTTTGTTAAGAGAAATAAGGCATTTCAAAATGCAAAAGGTACAGCTAGACACTTGGTTACAGGCTACCCATTCTTGTGGCTTAGTCACATGCCATTTAACGATGGGGATATGTCAGAAATGTATCGCTACGTGGTTTCGCCATTGTGAGAACGTCGGAGTGTATCTACATAATCCTAAACGGTATAACCTACTACACACCTAGGCTATGAGGTACAGGCTGGAAGCCTGCACAGCATGTTGCTGTACAAAACAACCTGAGGTTAAGTCAGCACGAGAGAAAATGATGCAACCAAGTGACAGTAGTAAACACGGATGCATAAGGTTGCTGCAGCTCTATGGGCTGTACTTTCATATGCCTGGCAGTGTAGGCCTGTGCACACCGGCATCGCCCAAACACGTGAGTGTGCACTGCACCGCAATGCGGGGATAGCTACGAAGTCAGCAAGCGGCAGGAATTTTTCAGATCCAGCACCACTCCTAGGATCACCATCGTCTCTGCAGCCACTGCTGACTGAAATGCTATGCGGGCAGGACTACAGTAACCTGTTTAAAAAGTTGAGACTAGCTCGCACATATAATGAGAAATGCAGTCTCCCTCCCTCTCCTGTTCCCACCCACCGAGAGGCACTGTTGGCAATTTAGTATATTCTTGCAGAGATGTTCGATGCATTCATGAGCATGGCAACTATACCTGCCTGGGAGCCTATTCACATTTTGCAGAAATGGGGTGGAATACCACCCACGAGGTCTGCGTCTTGCTCTTCCCACAGGTCAGAGTATCTTGGAGGTGGCTGTGTATTGGCACATTCAGATTTGATTCAATAGTGTTCCATCTACAGATGCCCCACAGTTTGAGTTAATAATTTTTGAAGAATAAATTCTACACACATCCAGGTCTCTTAGATCCGCATGACCCCTCTGCTGTAATGCACTTTCCTCTCCTAAGTCTTCATTTCTATTTTTCCCTCCTCTCCATCCCATGCTTCCCTCAGAGGTCCAACTTAAATCACCTTTATTCCCAGAATCCTGGTTGACTACTGAAGCCATAAGCAATAGTTCTGTCCTTCCAATCAATTCTAACCTTTCAAACTCTCGTAGGACATTAGTAAAAACCAGCCTCAAATACCTGCAGTGTGTCCTGGCTTATTCTCACTGCTGGAATCTAAGCCCCTTGAGGGCAGCATAATCTGACTTAACCATCTTTGTTTGCTTCCCAACCCCCGCCACAGAGCGTGGCACACAGCAGGCAGAATAAAGGCTGTTTGCTGAATGGGAAACGTGTGCTCCGTGGGTGCTGTGGGTTGAACTGTCTCCCCAGAACATCTGATGAAGTCCTAACTACAGGCACCTCAGAACGTGACCTTAGTGGGAAATAGGATTGTTGCAGATGTAAGTAGCTACGATGAGTTGTACTGGAGGACATGGACCCTTAATCCAACGTGACTGGTGTCCTAATAAGAAGAGACCAGAGAGAGAGAAATACACGGGGAATGCCAGGTGATGACAGAGGCAGGGACTGAAAGGATGTGTTACAAGCCAAGGAGCACCACCAACTGCTGGCAACAGCAGAGGCTACGAGCCAGTTCTGACACTACTGTCTGATATCAACTGGATGTGAAACAATTCGATTCTGTCCTGAGTTAGTGGAGACTCCACATGTCAAGAACAAAGAACTTCACACAAGACTGCCAGCTGTAAGTTTTGGTTGTCCCCAAGCCACCCATAATTATGCCCAACTGGCTACAAATTCAGGGTTTCCCATAACTCCCTCTGGTTCAATATCCATTAGAACAATTCACATAACTCACCGACAGCACCACTCTTATAATTACAGTTTCATGTTCATGTATATAGGTTATAACTGAGGAACAAGCAAATGAAAGAGATGCTTAGGTCAAGGTCTGGGGTGGGGTGGGGTGGGAAGAGAGGCTGAGCGTCCATGACCTCTCTTGGTGAAACCCAGGTGCCTTCCCAAACAAGGCAGCTCTACTGAGCCTCGGTGTCTGGAGTGTTCACAGGGGGCTCCAATCTGCAGGCAGAAGGGACTACGTCCTGGGCCACAACTGCACTCTGTCTCTCCTCTTGCCCCTCCCCGCCATGGATGTTGGGCTGATCCAAAGTTCTAACCTTTTGATGCTGTTATTGGTCTTTCTGGGGACCAGCTTCCATCTTGAAGTTATCTAGGGGCCCGCCATTAGTCACCTCATTAGCATAAGAGAGTATGAAACAATCACTCAAGAAATTCCAAAACGTTTTGAAGCTTTGTGCCAGAAACTGAGCCAGAGGAGGAGATGGTGTTTGTTGTACCACAGGAAGAAACTGATTCTCCCCCACAGTCCTCAGAGAGCATGCCCTGCCCACACCTTGGATTCAGACTTCTGGCCTCCAGATCTGTGAGAATAATTTTATGTTGTTTAAAGCACCAGGTTTGTGATCATTTGTTAGAGAAGCGGTAGGAAATTAAGAGTGGATGGAGCAAGGCTTTGCCTTAGGACAGTGGTTCTCAACCTTCCTAATGCCGCGACTCTTTCATACAGATCCTCATGTTGTGGTGACCCCCAATTTCATGGTTACAAATTGAACATAATTAAAGCACAGTGATTAATCACAAGAACAATATGTAATTATGTGTTTTCCAATGGTCTTAGAAGACCCCTGTGAAAGGGTCATTTGACCCCCAAAGGGGTCGCGACCCACAGGTTGAGAACCTCTGTCTTAGGGTAACACTGCCATTAAAATGTATTCCCTTGGTTTCCATACCATCTAGTATTTCCTGACACCCCCTCGGGCCATTCTTCAGCACCCTCTCTTCTCAGCACTCTACCCTCGTCAGTGTTTCAGTCCACCCACCTTCTGCTG